ACTGCTGAAGTGAGATGAGGGACGGGGGCTGGGAGCTCAGCCAGGATGGCGTCCCGCCCCTCACTGTCACACCCTCTTCACTTACTTAATTAATTGATTTTTAATACTATTGCATCATACAATATAATTTATATAAGTATAAATATATATATAGAGAGAGAGAGATTTATTTTTATTGGAGAGTCAGATACACAGAGAGGAGGAGACGCAGGAAGATCTTCCATCTACTGACTCACTCCCCAAGTGGCCACAATGGCCAGAGCTGAGCCAATCTAAAACCAGGAACCTAGACAGTCCCTGTTCTGGGTCTCCCATGTGGGTGCAGGGTCCCAACCTTCGATCATCCTCGACTGCTTTCCCAGGCCGCAAGCAGGGAGTTGGATGAGAAGTGGGGCTGGGATTAGAACTGGCTCCCATGTGGATCCTGGCATGTGCAAGAAGACTTAAGCTGCTAGGCTATAGCACTGGGCCCTTTTAAATTTATTTTTACTTATCTTTATTGAAAGCAAGATGCTCTGATACCAGTGATTGTAAGGCTTTTTTTTACGTGACTCTGTTTTCTTAGGAATCTGTGGAGCTTCCGCTGACCCATCCAGAATATTATGAAGAGATGGGAATCAAGCCCCCCAAGGGGGTCATTCTCTACGGCCCACCTGGCACAGGTACGCTCTGGGTTTGCTCCTTTTGCAGGTGTCCTGTCTGGAATAGTAGCACTAACTAGTGATAATAAAGCCCCAATGTCCAAGTGCATCCTGAAGCTCATGTGTTCATCTCAAGTGTGGCCGAGCCTGGCAGCCGGCAGACGGCTGCGGCTCAGAGACCAAATTCCATGGTGTCCTTTTTCCTGGCCCAAATGATACTGAGCATATTGGCTAAATTAACATGGAAATACATATGGGGTGCTTTAAAATTTACAGAAAGTTTGTATTAGCCTTTATTTTTCTCTCTACATTTTTGGAGTGCATTCATACACTTTTGGTTCATTTTGCAGTAAGTTGACTTGAGTGATTGTGGAGCCCAGCAGATAGCAGTTCACTGCTTGCCCGGGAGGGGACGGTCTGGGCTGAGGCCATCCAAACTGGAGGGAGACTGCCTCTTCCAGCTCAGGAAATTACATTTCATGGACGCAGTGACCAACCCCAGGTCCAGCTGCTCAGAAGTGAGCTGGTGGCAAGGCCGGAGCACAGCAGGCCTGGGTGCTGTGGGACAGTGGGCGGCAGGCCGCCGCCTCTGGCTGTACAGCAGACTTGTCTGCTTCCGGGCTCTAGGACCACATCCGTGCCTCCTGCTGCCACGGTCCTCAAGGCGGGACTGCCCGAGACCATCAGGGTCTGCATTGGCCAGGGAACATCTTTGCCATTGTTCCTGTCATTGTGTGGGTTCTTCCTGCCGCTCCCTAGCCAACCACCTCTTCTACAGGCTCTTGGTGAGCAGCTCTGCCACATGGCACCTGCCCTGCCCCTGTTCTTACCACCAGAGGCCAAGGTCTTCCAGCCCTACAGTTCTCAAAGTGGGTGCCCTCTGCCAGCTCTTGTCTGGATCTGAGAAGCAGGGACAGAGCAATACTGGAAACTCGCGAGACCTCCCCTGAGGTTGAGGAGACTGCCTCTTCCCCAGAAGGGCATGCCACCAGGTGGACCCAATCTGCCGGATTTGCCAGCGCTCCTCTGCCTCATCAAGAGTATCTAGGGGTCTCCACCCTTAGCTTTGTGGGAATGAGGTTCTGGTTACCCATGGACTGGCTAGCTCATTATAAACAACTGTGAAGAGGCCCTTACTGGAATAGTTGGAATAGGTAGGAAGTCTCCCTAAAGGTAAGCCAGTTTATACTTGAAAGATGGATCTTCCACATGCTGGTCCGCTCCCCAGATGACCACAACCAGGGCTGTGCACGGCTGACGCTGGGGGCTTCTTTGGGGCTGCAGGGGCCGACACTTGGGCTGCGTACCAGTGCTTTCCCAGTGAAGCAGGCAGGATGGAGCCCGTGGGATGCCAGCATCTGGGGCAGCAGTTTTACCCACTGGACCATGACATGGCCCCCAGTTTACCGTGCTTCAGTGGGAACCTCTGAGTGTAAGCTTACAGCCAAGTAAAAAGTGTTTTTTGTTTTTGGTGGATTTTTTGCATTATCATGATGAACTTAAAAAGATTTTTCTGCATTTTCTTTTAGCTTTCCAGAACACTACAGACACATCAGTTGTAACAAAGCTTCCATCTCGGGTCCAGCCATGAGTGCTAGCCACACCACAGGAATGATAATTTTCCAGGTAACAGGTCACTTGATTTATTTTTGTCGCTGTTTCCCAAATAGGTAAAACCCTGTTGGCCAAAGCAGTGGCAAACCAAACCTCAGCTACTTTCTTGAGAGTGGTCGGCTCTGAACTTATCCAGAAGTACCTCGGCGACGGGCCCAAACTCGTGCGGGAGCTGTTTCGTGTTGCTGAAGAACACGCACCGTCCATTGTATTTATCGATGAAATTGATGCTATTGGGACAAAAAGGTGGGTTTTCTTCTGCCAGCTTCATGCTTAAAGGCAAAAACCACGTAGCACCTGTGGCCTTTCCTCTGGCCACAGCTCTCGTAGTGTCCTCCCTCGGTTCCCGAAGTGCCACCTGCCCAGGGCTGTGAGGAACTGGACATGAACTGGGTCTTGACTGCATGCTCTGGGCCTGGACCATGACATGCCCAGTCGGGATGTGGGACCAGACACCAAGCGTGGAGACATAGTAAATGATGTCATTTCAAGTACAGAAACTGCTGCAAAGAAATGTCATCTCTGATTTAGTTCCCACTAACCCTAGTTCATTCATGCTGCTCTTAAGAAAATAGCACAGGCTTCTCGGAACAGAAATTTCCCACAGCTCTGGAGACAGTTAAGTGCAAGAGACAAGGCAGGCCCTGGCTGAGGTGACTGCTCAGAGCTGTCGTGCCGCCAGCCTGATGACCCTGCAGTGGCAGCAGAGTAGGGAGGACTGGTCCTTCCTCCCCTTCTTGACAGGCACAGTCCTTGCCAGGGCCCCGCGGGTGACGGGCACAGTCCTTGCCAGGGCCCCGCGGGGTGGGGGTGAAGGCCACGGGGTTCCCTAGAAACGAGGATGTCACGTGAGGCCTAAGCAAAGAATGGTGAGGGACTCTGTCATGATGGGCTCCTGGCTGTGCTCACACTATTGCAGGTCGTTTGGCTTTTCATTCCTTCCCTTCTTTCCAAAGATACGACTCCAATTCTGGTGGGGAGAGAGAGATCCAGCGCACAATGCTGGAGCTGCTCAACCAGCTGGACGGGTTTGACTCAAGAGGAGATGTGAAGGTGATCATGGCCACAAACCGAATAGAGACTCTGGACCCAGCACTTATCAGACCAGGTGACGTGTGCTTTTATTTTGTGCTGGGAGGAAAGGGTGGACTGAAAGAGACATGTATTAGGCAAATACTGCAGTTTACCAAAAACAGGTCCCTGGGAGCATTGTACAGTGCTACCCTCCCCTCTGAATTCGTCTCCAATCTTGGTCTTTCATAAATTTTCCCTATTTTAGGCCAAACAAGTTGCAACTTTTCCATAGAAGACCAAAAAGTGATTTTATTTACATCCAGGTAGCACTAGAAAAAGCTTGGTCTTCTGTAATGTTAAGTGCTCTTTTTTTCATGAAATACGGTTGAACTTTGAGAGGTTAAGGTCAGAGGTGTGTGGAGACGCTCTTGCCCGGCCGGGCTGACCGGGCTGACCGAGCTGCTGTGCCCACAGGCCGCATCGACAGGAAGATCGAGTTCCCCCTGCCTGACGAGAAGACCAAGAAGCGCATCTTTCAGATTCACACAAGCAGGATGACGCTAGCTGATGACGTCACCCTGGACGACTTGATCATGGCGAAAGATGACCTCTCTGGAGCAGACATCAAGGTGAGGCCCGGGACGGGCAGGTGCCACACAGGTTTGCCATTACATCCCCAAAATCAATGGCTTTTTGAGGACATTCCTTATAGCCACAGAGATGAGCCCAGGACTTTGGCCAGCTCAGCTAAGCGGGCCCAGGTCGGGCAGAGTGCCTGCTGGGGGCACCGGCTGGGAAGCAGCACCACTGCACACTGCTAGTCCTACATGGGCTGGTTTTATCACAGGTAGGACAGTGCTTCCCGGGGACCAGCACTCCTCAGCAGAGCCGACAGCATCATTGCAACTTAGAAGGCATGGCCCCCAGCCGGCTGACATGGGTCCTCGCGAGCTGAGTGTGTGTCTTTATTGGGGATACACACGTTTTTAGGGTTAAATGAAATGTCCATACAAGGATTGTTTCAAAAAGTTCTTAGGACATGGAATTGAGAATGTCTGTTCTCTCAAATCATTTTTACACAACCTGCATTTTCATGAACTTTTTGAAGTAAATCGTTGCCTTAAGTTTCAGGCTGTCATTTCCTAAGAACATCACGCCCTTTCTCACAGGTAGAGGTGTAAGCAGCCAGGGAGCCACGGCTTTGATTGCATTCCCTCTGTTCTATTTACTCCTGGCTTATTTTCTGAAAGATTTTAAAGTGACTTAATTAGAAGCATGTACACCTTATTTGAAACCAGTACCGAGGGCTTGTTAGAATGAAGCTGCTGTTGTACCGACAGGCCATCTGCACAGAAGCTGGGCTCATGGCCCTGCGGGAACGCAGGATGAAAGTCACGAACGAAGACTTCAAGAAATCCAAGGAGAACGTCCTCTACAAGAAGCAGGAAGGAACACCCGAGGGGCTCTATCTCTAGTGGACCGCAGCTGCCCCGCCTCAAGGGAGGTACAGACAGGGCTGCCCGGGAGCCAGGCCCCAGCTGGTTCTTATTAGACACCCTGTGTGTCCTCGAGTGTGCACGTTCTTTGCTCGCTCGCTCTGCTGCCCAATAAAGAGTGCTCTTTCCCATACAGCTCACGCTCTGCGGAGTGCCCAGCACCGGGAGGTGGGCCTAGCTTCCGGGGGACAGGAGGGCTGGCTGGGAACAGGTAGAAGGAACATGCTACACCTTCTCATGCAGGGCATATTTAATGGCCATAGGCCTGGTTCTTCATACATATAAATAGTGTCACATATATGATATGTAAACCCCAGCCTTCCAAAACGTGAGGCCTCAACCCAGGCACCCAGCACCTGGCCCCACCCCGCCGAGGTCCTAACCCTCCAGCAGGAGATCGAGCTCTTCCAGCGGCAGGCGCACACGCAGCTCCTTCTCCGTCATGAGGTCCAGCACCTCCTGCAGGGCATCGGGGAAGTACTCCACGGCGTCCAGGTACAGAGCCTAGTAGAGACAGGCCTGGTCAGTTCGTGGCCGACAGCAAGAGGAGAGCCTGGGAAGGGAGCAGGCACCTGCTGAGCCTGCCGCCCTCCTCCGCCCCCGGGCTCTTGGGGAAGACACACTCCCTTACAATTCCTGTGCTCACACACCTGGCTACACAGCGGGCCCCAACACTGACAGCGGCTATACTGAGGCCTGGCGGGCAGCCTAGGGGTACCTGACTATGCTGCGGACTGCCACTCACCTTTGCCCATGGGCACTTCTGAAGTGCTCTGTAGAACACACCTTTGCTTCGGTCTTTATTTCCCAAGGAAACCTGGGTTGAGGAACAAAGATACACAGTAAGTAGCACAAACACGGGGAGGTGACAGATGCCCGCTCCATTTCCTCACAATATCACATGTGGTTTCCTCTCCTCCAGGCCACCACACTGCAGCTTAAATAGAAGCACTGAAAGTTTAAATTCTGGTTTGCTTTCCGCTGCTCCACTTCCAAGGTCTTGATCTACCATCCAGTCTTTGAGGGTCTCTTCATCTTTTTACATCCTAGCATTGTCATCTCAAATGGAAAGGCTCATGAGAATTTATAAGATACATACATTAGACTTGTATACAACAGCCACCACTGTTGGTTCCTGACAAGTATTCTACTCACTAAAGGTCACTTGCATGTGACAAAGCCACCCGAAGCAGCAAGAGGCCCACGTGACTTCCGAAAACACTGGGCTGGTGTTGAGGCACGGTGGGGTAAACCGGAACCTCCAACACTACCACCCCACCTGAGTGCCACTTCAGCTCCTGGCTGCTCAGCTTGCAATGCAGGTCCCTGCCAACAAAAGCCCTGCGGGTGGCCCATGTCACCCGTGTCATGTCGCCTGTGGGGGAGGCCTCATTGAGCTCCAGACTCCTGCCATGTGGCTACTGGGAAGTGAACCAGTGGATGAAAGTTATCTCTGCCTCACTGCATTTCAAATAAGTGAATAAATCTTTTAGAGATTTTTAAAACAGTACACTTCTTGGCAATGAATGGAGCAAATGGGGCCCACTACGCTGCCAGGTCCCCGACTCAAAGCCAAGGCAATTCAGACCACAAAGCTTGGTTTACACGCCGGCTAACCAGATCCCACTGTGCGGGGCTTCTAGGTACACAAAGCTGCCTTGGAAATGTCTTCTTACATTCCAGGCTCAGTCTTTTTTTTTTTTTGTTCATAAGAACCTAGAAATTCCTTAAAGTGAAATGGCAAAGCATTTCGTCTCTCATATCAAAATTCTTAGCCCATTTGCCAAATCACTTAAGTTCTAAGTTCTGTTTCAGAAAAGAGCCCCAAAATTACCAGCAAGTGTCTGGAGTAAACACGCAGTTCATGGGCTCGTTCCAAGACCTCGGAGATCTGCCTTAAGTCCCCCAGGGTCCTGTAAGGGCTGGCTAACAGCGTCAAGATGAGGCCCTTCCCAGCATTCTTATGCTTGGTTATTGCACACCCACACCTCATGGATGAAGAAACAAGTAGGGCTCAGCACAAAAATATAGTATAAATATTTGCTTACCAAGAAACTCAAATACATCCTCCACAGCAGGGGACACTGGCCGCCATCGTCCCGCCGCAGTGCATTCTCGAACAGGGCAGCGAGCCGGTGTGTCACTCCCGTCTCGGGGATCGTGGCGTGGACCTCCCTGCCATCCACCCTGTAAGACAAGGCTTGCGTCACATAAGCACGACTCCCTGCGGCAGCACAGCAGCCAGAGATGCTTCTGGAACAGCAAGCAGCAGTCGCTGCAGCAGACAGCAGCAGGGCACGCCCTGCCCCACAGGAGCACAGCACGGGCAGGTGTGAGGGCTGCTGCCCCATGACCCGCCCATCTAGATAGCTCTGGCTCACTTTCTCTCACACACACTCTTTGCCTCCGTTTTCTAGACACCTACCCTTTAATTCACAGCCCCTAGAGTTCTACTTTACAGGAAGGAAATTGAAGGTGGATGAAGACTCACATGGAGGGAAGAAAAAAGCCCATCAAATGAAATATTGCTAACAAGGCATTTCTGTCTAATTTATAAGGTCAGGGTAAAGCCACAGCAAAGATTCCAGGGAGGATAACGAAGCTGAAGCTAGCAGGCTCCTGAGACTCATTTAACTCACGGATAGCCACCACTGGATTAAGCGTAGGTAGCATTACCCCGCAACACTGGGGAAGCTGCCATTTCAGATGCCCGCCTCAGAAGGCCACTGCGTGCCAGCTTCCTGCTCAGGCATCCTGGGACACAGCTGCTGATGGCTCGAGTGCTTGGGCCCCTGCTACGCATGTTTTAGGCACCGAGGTTCAGGCCTGCTATTGGCAGGCATCTGGGGAGTCAATCAGAGGCTGGAGATCATCTGTCACCGCCTTCCAAGTAGATGCAAATAAGCAGGCACTGAACCATGCCACTGTCACCAGCAGTGACAGGCAGTGGCCAGAAGCACTATGAACTCCCTGTGTCTCTGAACCCCCTGACTTCAGAGTGCCAATCAGGTAGGTTCTTTACTCCCATCTGACGAACCTGGCAGAAAAGTGAGGGGACCGGCCCAAGGCTGCTGAGCAGCAGGTGGAAGGGCTGGCCCTGGACTCCAGAGCACCAACGCCCAGGGCCCATGCTCCTCACCAGGTAGCCCTCACGGCAGCCTCTTGGGTGCTGGGGCCATTCCCCAGCACACACACGTTCTCCCCGGAGTCCGGGGGTGCAGCCCAGGCACACAGCCACCAAGGCACCTAACGAGATGCTGCTACCCTGTACACATCTGCTTCATCTTCCAATACCCAGAGCACCGCGGGTCCGGGCCCCGTGCCTCCACGGCTGTGGTCCTAAGACCTTGTGAAGCGCTCGGGGTCCAGGCAGGTTTGCGGACGCTCTGATTACCTGTGCACTGTCTCCACCAGCTTCCGCCTCATTTGCTCAGCTTCAATTGCGAACAGCCAAGGCTCCAAGGGCTTGGCCGACCTGGTGATGGCAGCAAAGAATCTTCTGGTCTTGCTGGCACTGTGGGACTTATTCTGAATCTGCACAAATGACCTCCAAAGCACCTCGTTGCCAGGATACAGCGTGAGGGCCTCCACGAGGGCCGCTCGCAGGGGAGCCAGGGGGTACACACTGACTCGCATGTGGAATCGCAGCAGACCCGTGTGCATCAGCGTGACGGCTTCAAGAACTCTGCTCGGCCCCGGGGGGCCGGCCCTGTCCTCCAGGCCAGAGCCTTCTGGAAACACAGAGCCCTTCAGTTTGACAAGCACCTGCTCATAGATCTGCACGGCGGCCTCGATCCCTACAGTCAGGTACTGGAAGAGCATAAAGCACCTGGCCACGCTGACGAGGCAGGCGACGGACGTGGCAGCAGCTGGAGCGGAGGCACACACCTCCCCCAGACTGTCCTCCAGCACATGCTCGTAAGCCTTCCGAGCCTTCAGGATGTGCACGGCCAAGACCTGCCCGCCGTAGGCGCTGTAGGGACTGCGCTCGGTCAGGCGGGTTAGCACGTGCACAGCCCGGGCCGTGGCAGACCCGCGCGACTCGGCCGAGAGCTCTGCCTCCACCTCCAGTTGGGCGTACAGCAGACTAAGCTCGCAGAGTTCATGGTTCTTCAGCTCTTTGCTTTCCACCAGGCTGAGGGCTGTATCAAAAACTTTTCTGGCATCCTCTGTGTTGCCAAGCAACCACTCCAGATGTGCATACTGCTTCCAGAGGCAAAAGTTGTTGCGGTTCTCTGGCTCCTTAAGTAGATTCTTGGCTAGTTTTTTGCAGTTCCTTCCCTGTGATTTTAATCTCTTCTTATTTTTGCTGTGCAGGCACCAAATGACCTGTAAACCAAAAGGAAAAAAAAACAATACCTCCAGGGCTGGGGTAGCTGTGAAGCCAGCCCCGTGCTACCCCGAGAAAGCCCTGGCAGCTGAAAAGGCCATGGCATTTCCTCCTCATGTGTTTGAACACTGGTGCTCTGAGCAAGGAAAGAAACGAGGACTTCCGCAGGGCACCCAGGTCGATACCCCAGGGTTTCCATCTGAAATCTCCATAAACAATGCTCTCTGAACACACGTGGTGACCACAATATCAGACCTGTGTGTTTAACCAAAGCTTGACAGTATCAGGTATCAAGAGTCAATACTGATGGTGACCAGCAGAGGGCACAACAGTCGATACAGAACAATTTCCAGCCCAGACAGTGAGAGATAAGTACCTTATTTTATCTATGCTAATAAACCCCTAAATCCTCTAACCCTGTTTAGGCTCAACACTAACTGCTCAGATAATCACAGGCGTCTGTTAACACCAGACTCAACACAACTTAGCCTAGAGTCACTGAGGAGCTGGACCGGCCACACCTCCCTGCCAGGGGCCTACAGCAGACAGGGAGACGGGGAAAGCTCTCTGACACCCACAGGCGCCGCAGAGGAAGCTGCTGGGTTACCTTGGCAGTCTCGTACTGCAGCCAGGAGCTACACAGATCAGACTTCTCCTTGCCTGAAAACAAGGGCAGCACCAGGTGGAAGATGTTGCGGATGAAGTCCTCCCCGTCGCGACTGTGACCGCGGGTCCATCGACGACCGCCCAGCGGGTCCATGTGGCCAACACAGCTGACGCCGGAAAACGGAGAGCTGAGGCACGTCAAGGGCTTTGCATCGTGAAGTCCATGGTCAAAGATGCTGTTCTCATCCATAGCCAGGTAGAGGCAGGAGGCAGGAGGCACGAAGCCAGAAGGCACACCCAGGAACTGGAGAAAGGCCTCGATGAGCCGGAACTGAAGATCGGGACTGCAAAGTTTGATCAGGGACTGTCCAATATCATCAAACAACACCTGCCAAGAAGGCGGAAACGCCAAGTGACCCACTGAGCCAAGCAAAGCTTGCAGTTCAATGTACGGGTGTGAATAATTCAATGTCATGGCATTTTAGATCAGCAGAAATTAAGTTGTCCGCAAAACCCAAGAAAAAGCCAGAGGTGACGTGGCTCTGCCCTGGGCGCGCCGGGGCGGAGGCAGGGCTGCAGCAGGCTAAGCCAACAGCCCTCTAGGCCTCGCGGGCAGTGCTGCGTCGCTTCCCAAAGCACCGTCCATGTGAGCTTGCTCTGAGCCACTACAACTATGGAAGGGAAGATAGGAATGCCACGATTGACAGCTTCTGGGTACAAGATAGCTTCAGGAAATGAGAGATGGGCTCAGGCGGGGAAGCAGGAGCGAGGGAAGCCAGCCAGCCACAGCAGCAACAGGCCTCCCTGCCTGTTGGGAGATGTTCCCAGCCGCTACCGTGTGGCTGGGGAGCAGCCAGGGTCTCCGGGCACTGCCTAGCAGCATGGCCTTCCTGGCGCTTAGCAAAGAACATGAGCACGAAGAACGGACTGCCTGGACTGAACTCGGTCGTCAGTAACCCACAGGTTCTCCACCTTCGTCTTGGATCAGACCAATGACCAGAGCTCCCCGCAGCGGCGGCTGGCTCCCTGAGGACTGCCTAGGAACTCCATGAAATCCCCCACACCGCTGAGATCCCACTCCTCCTTAAACCCTCAGCCTCAGCTACCAAAGGGCACTCCCATGGACACGTCACTGTGCGGGGTTTCCCTGAAGTTGCCCTCTTCCCGGTCCCACTCCTGTGCGGGCTCGGTGCAGCCCAGCTGTCCCATCCCAACTCCTCCCACGGGGCTTCACCCCTGCTCGCATGTTATATAAATGCTCCTCATCGCGCAAGAATGTCACCGGGACAAGCACTGTTGCCAGTACCACCGCAGGCACCGAAGCTCCCTAGCTGCACACAGCCTGCTGCTACAAAAGCCTGCATATGGGAGGCCAGTGCGATGGCTCAACTGGCTAATCCTCCACCTGCCAGCATCTCAGATGGGCACTGGCTCATGTCCCACCTCCACTTCTTATCTAGTTCCTGCTTGTGGCCTGGGAAAGCAAAGGAGGATGGTCCAGAGCCCTGGACCCTGTACCCGCATGGGAGCCCTGGAGGAAGGCCCTGCTCCAGACAGACTCAGCTCCAGATGCTGGGCTGTTTGGGAGGTGAGCCAGTGGATTCAGATCCTTCTCTGTCTCTTCTCCGTAAATCTGGCTTTTCAATAAAAATAACTAAATCTTTAAAAAAGATTTCAAAAGCCTCTGGATTCCTATGTGTCCAACTGTAACATGTCATGTGCTCTGGAACTGTCCCTATCTTGTGAAATTGTGTCAATTCAAGGTAACAAAATATCTCTTCATCCTTCATGCGAACACAGAAACTCTAGAGTTGCTGGCCACTAAACAGAATCACGGAGCCACCAGCCGACCGCTCGGGCCACCAGCAGACCGCTCAGGCCACCAGCTGACCGCTCGGGCCACCAGCCGACCGCTCGGGCCACCAGCAGACCGCTCGGGCCACGGGCTCCACGCCTGGCGCACAAGCTTTGTTCCATTTCTGTTTCTTCAACAACAGGTGTTTCATGAACACCAGCTATCCTTCCACATAACAGGCTAAGCCTGACTGTTCCAAAATGGACTCCACATCCTGTCCCGAGTCTTCTGGAGTCAAATTTAGAGTCCCATCTTTCCAGAGCTAGAGTGGGGAGTGGTAAAGCCGACACAGTGGAAGATCTGGGACAATGATTCCTGTTTCCAGAACCTGAGCCCACAGGTTTCCAGGTTAAAAATTCACAGCCTGCCCAGTGCTCTCCAGCAGGTGCCTGCGCGCCCCCTGGTGGTCAGCGACTGTCACGCCCAGTGCTGGCAGGCTGCTCAGCAGGGCCCATCAGACTCCACATGGCCATGAACTCAAGCAGGCTGGCCTTTCCCAAGCCCACACAAGTTCAGGGAGCCCCGGTCACCTTCACTCAGACCACGACACAATGGGGCATACGTGCCTGCCTCTCAGGGTCCTCACAGTCTTCCTCCGTTTGCTTCTTGGTCTTATCAGGGCGCCAGGGCTGCCAATGCCTCTGTTCTCGGGTGCGCTCAGCAGCAAGCCAGATCTGCCACCTGGGCAGAGTCTTATCTCGTATCTCCTGGTCATCCTCTTCTGGCTCATCATCATCCTCATCTAGACAAGAAGGAAACTTCTAGTTCACCTAAGGGGCAAAAAAACAAAACAAAACAAAACCCACCATCGCTACCCAATCTGCCTGCTGGGTCAAGAACTGCGCGGGCAGCTGGAGGGCCGAGTCTAAACCACGCCAGCCTTCCAGGGCACTCGCTGGCACGAAGGGATTCTCCTCCAGTGAGCTGGGGTCCCAGGAGGAACAGGCAGATAAGCGGATGCCATCAGACAGTTTTTAATGTTATCACGGAATTATGATAGAAATATTAGACAGCCCCCACTGCACTAAGAGATTTTTCTACAGTGGCAGAGCCATCAGCTGACTTTCTGGGTACTTTAACAAGTCATATAGATCGACTACCCACTGGTTTGCCTCCCAAATGGCCACGACCACCAGAGCGGGTCCAGTGCTAGGAATTTGATCTGGGTCTCCCACATGGGTGCTACCTCGGCTGTTTTCCCAGGCACATTAGCAGGGAGCTGGATCAGAAGTGGAGCAGCCAGGACGAGAACTGGCACCCATATGGGATGCCCCACCACAAGCAGACATTTAGCCTGCAACACCACAGCACTGGCCCAAGATTTTCTTAAAACATCAGAATGTTTAGCCAGTGGCCTTATAGTTAATTGTTCACTAGAACTCATTAAACAACAACAACAACAAAAACTATCCCTCCAACTTTCAAATAAATAAAATGAATCATTAACAAACTTAAAAATAAGAGGCTGGCCCTATAGTACTACGCGCATTAAGATGCCAACATCCTTTATGAGCAGTGGCTCAAATCCTGGCTGCTCTATTTCTGGTCCAGATCCCTGTTAATGTGCAGGGGTGGGAAACCGGGTAAGACGGCCCAAGTCCCTGGGCCTGTGCCACTCATGCAGAAGACCTGAAGTGCAGGCTCCTGGCTCTGGCCTGACCCAGGGGAGTGAGCCAGCAGACACAAATTCTCTCTCTCTCCCTCTCCCTCCTCTATTCCTCTCTCTTTAGCTTTGCCTTTCAAATAAATAAAATGAACCCTTTAAAAAAGTCACATCGGGATATACTTTGCAGAATGTGTAAAGGCTGAGTCATCTGTAAAGTGCAATATTAAGCAACAAACAGGGTCCATATAAAATTAAACATGCACTTATAATTCCTACACCCACAGGTTTGTGTAGAGGACAGGACTGGAGACAGAACTGACCCTGTGTAAGCTGACTGGGGTGAGACTGTGCTGGACCCCATACTGGCAAGCACACACAAAAATCAGGTCTGGGATCACCTCAGGTGAGGTTTCTTTGGGGGAATCCCCTAATTGAACCACTGGACTCAGAACTCCAACCATGGAATTGCAGGGTCCACGGTCCAACCGTGGAATGCATTAGTCAGAGCTGGGCCTCCTCAGTGCCTTAGACAAAACAGTGGACAGCATATCCAGGTGCACATGGAGAAGACAACAGTACATTGGAGCCTGCAGAGGACACCTGGTACCGTAACAGAGGATGGAGGACACAACAAATTGATCAACTACCCCAGCCAAGTGTTGGCAATAAATAACTGGGCAAATGGAGACACTAAGGTGGACTATGTCAGCCAGTGGATTCTGGAGAGAATTCATTGTGCTAGCAGTGGCAAGACTGGCAGTAATTCAGAACTGTTGGACTATCAAAACCACTTGAGCAGTGCCCTCAGAGAATGCCCACATCAGGGACCCTGAGATGGTTGGGAGGGTGGATGTAGCTTCTCCCTCTTCCTCCAGATACAAGCAAAGACAAGAATGTGGAAACAATGTTCTTACCCACTTTCCTGCAGCACTTGATCCTTTGCACCCCAACTAAGTACATAAAGATCATAAAAATTTGTTTAAAAGAGCCTGCTACAGGCTCCCTGGATTTTGAGTCCTGCCTGCAGCTGCATTCCCAGGGTCATACCAAATGATTTCACAGTTTACACTCTGAAGGCTGGATGTTCCCATCCTTGTGAAAAATGACTTCTCTAGAAACTCCAATCCCCAGAGGTAGAGTACTGCAGGGGAGGGGACACGGCTGCCGGTTCTGACAGGACATTTACTTAATGTACAGTTGGCATTTTGTGGTTTGCACAAAGTTCTTAAGCCACTAGCAGTTTACAAACCATCAGGAAGCAGTAAAAACAAATCCTACAAGAGAGAGCCACATCCCCCTTCGCTGAGAGTGCCTCACCTGGGTTGATGACCACCCAGCCACCGCGCTCCTGCTGGTGCATCCACGCCCTCCAGCCCCGGGCTCCCTTCTCCCCAGCTCGGGGCTCGCCGCTATCCCAGAAGGGCTCAAAGAATTCCACCTGTTCAAGTGCAGAAAGCAGCAGTTAGGCCTACCTTGTACAAAACTGTAGGGCACTGGACAATCAGTGCTGGTGGGCATATGCGGGGCTAAGGGCTCCTGAAATGTCAGCTGTGAGTCTTCAAAACAGATCCATGACACCCCCCAAAACAGAAAAACATCTGGAGGGGTGAGCAACCCCCAAGAGAATCACCCTCCCTGCATTATGGCATTCACATACAAGTGTGGGCTGGACCTACTGACCCTGACACAACATGGTCACCCCGATGGACCCGATGCTGCCGAGATTACACAACCAGCCATGGAGCAGCAAGAAGTGTCTGCAACAGGGGAGGAAGAAGAGCTCCTGGGGCAGCCTTGTGGCCTAAGCTGCTGCCTGCAACAAAGGCATCCCAGGTGGGTGGCATTGTGTGTGTCCCAGCTGCTCCACTTCCAATCCAGCTTCCTGGCTTATGCCTTGCTCAGCTCCAGCCACTGTGGCTATCTGAGGAGTGAACTCCTTCAAATGAACAAACCTGAAGGGGGATGGTGGGAGGAAAGGGGAAGCGGTTGCCTAGTTTTAATCCTGTCAGGTTATTCTACCCAGAGATGGCAGCACTGCCTCCCCACCCCCGGCCCCCAGGGCCCCGACCAATGACTGCAGTCCGGTGGCTTCCAAGTGTTGATGACGGAAAGGGGATGGAAGCTCACTGGGCCCGCCTGTCAGGTCGCTGCCCTCCTAGCATCTAGCCCAGAGCTCCATGCAGTCCTAAAAGGGAGATACCCAGTGAGTACAACGCTCTGTATTTTCAAGGCTGCCCAGCAAGCTCCTCCTTCACTTGCTTGGACACAGGGTCTGCAGCATGTGGTGGCCATTTGCTGGCAATCCTCAACTGCCCACAGAGAGAACACAGGCAGAGCAGTGAACAAGGACAGGGTCATGTCACCAACCGACAGCAGGACTTCCAACGCCGAGCCAATGACCCACTCCACCCAAGACTTTAAGAAATCTTTGGAAGAAAATAACAGGTTCCAACAGGTGCACCGCAGACTACGAAGCACAAGTAATTCCAGCCCAAGTCTAGACATCACCTGCTCCAGGGAGAGCGCCACCTACAGGGGAGGGTGTGAATGTCCAACATGGTGGGCCTGACTGCAGGTGCACACGGAGGCCTCAGGAAGGGGTCCTGGACAGACCACAGTCACTCCTCATACATCTTGCTCTCGGAAGAGTGATGAAGAAAATGAGCGCCCTCAAGAAAGAGAACTCCATTTCTGTTTAATCATGTGCTAAGTGCTTATAACCAATTGGTTTATTCTACAAAAGTACAGACCAGCAGTATCAAACTGTTATTGATGCTGCGCTACTAAGCTTATAACAGCAATGCCACTCAGCTATTAAGGCGACAAGAACACTGCTCTGTAAGGAGCCTTCTCCAGCTCGTCAGGTGAATGGCGGACCATGGACCTTCAGCACCGTGGTCTCCCATGTGCCACAGTTGCAGGCAGTGCCCTCGCAACCAGAGCATGTCTCAGGAAAGGGGTGAGCTAAGTGGGACCTGGATCCTGAGGCACGCTGCTCCTCACTCAGCTGAGTATCGCTTCCACAGCACATTATATTTTCAAAATAACAAAGCATGCCTTTCAAAAAATTTATTTTACTTATTTGTAAAGCAGAACTGCAGAGAGGGAGAAAGATCTACATCCTCTGATTCACTCTCCAAATGGGCAAAATGTCTTGGACTTGGCCAGGTCAAAGCCAGCAGCTTTATCTGGGCCTCCTATGAGGATGCGAGGGCTAAGGGACCTGGCCATCCTCCACTGCTTTCCCAGGCACATTAGCAGGAAACCTGTTTGGAAGTGGAGCAGCCAGGACTCAAACCAATGCCCATCAGGGGTGCCAGGATCACAGGCGGCACCACCACAAATCCAGCTCATCAAAACATGTCTTTAATTACTTGATCTGACTTATTAATAATCAATCAAATAAACATTAACAATCTTCTGACACAACTTTGTCTAGAGGCACATCACAATAAATCATGTGCTGATGACTCATGAAATTCCACAGGAAGATGAGCTCAGCCTCATCTTCCCAGATTGACCACACGTCACACACGTCGTCTTCCAGCAGAACTCTGCAAAGCTAGAAACTGAGATTTCTTCAGCAGAAAAGAGCAGGGATAGGTTTCTAATGTGCACAGTTCTACAATGAGCAATGTTGGCTTATCTAAAAGACTAACTCTCCATTGAGACAGGCACTGACAATGCACCTATATATAATTTCCAACTCTAGCAACACTCTTCAGAAATGGAAGGGTCAACTGGGGGAAATGACACAGGCCCAACATAGTAACTTGTGGTTTAAAATGTCACAACAGGGTGGGTGCAGTGGGGTTCAGCAGGCTATTCCTCAGCCTGCAGCACTGGCATCGCATATGGGTGCCAGTTACAGTCCTGGCTGTTCCCCTTCCAATCCAGCTCCCTGTTTATGGACTGGGAAAACAGTGGAGGATGGTTCAAGTCCTTGGGCCACTGCAACCCTGTGGGAGATCAGAAAGAAGCTCCTGGTTCCCGACTCTGGATCAGCTCTGCTCTGGCCATCATGTGGCCATGACAACGGGAGATCTCTCCTTGTCTCTCCTTCTCTCTGTAAATCAGCCTTTCAAATTGAAAAATAATACTAATACATCTTTAAAAAAAAAAAAAAAGATCACAGCAGGCACCAGCATCACATCATGGCAGGTTAAGTCACGCCATGCTGCTGACATATTGTATCGGAGTACTGGCTCAAGTCCCAGCTGTTCCGCCTCCAATGTGGCTCCCTGCTCACGTGCTGGAAGAAAGCAGATGACCCAAGGACTTAGGCTCCTGCCACCCACGAAGAGACCCAGATGTCATTCCAGGTTCCTGGCTTCAGCCTGACCCAGGCTTGGCTATTCCAGGCATTTAGGGGATAAACCAGCAGATGGAAGCTCTCCTTTGTGTCTTTCAAATAAATGAACTCAATCACTCAGTGAAGCATCACAACTGCTGTCCTAGTAGCAGCAGCTAGCGTTTAAACTACAAAGTAAGGATGAAAGAGACATCAGCGAGCCTACATTTATGAAGGGAGGATGAATCTCCTTTCACCTAATCCAGATTTCAGTACTTTCACTATGCAACTTTCGTTGGATCATTGGAGTACCTCTGAGAAATCATCTTCAGTACTGGAAAATGGTATGGTAATTCTAAAAATATTGAGAGAAAACGAGAGAGAGAGAGACAAGTAGGTACCGTGTAAGCAGACATGGTACCTGCACTTTGGTGGGCACGTCTCGCACGCTGTCAGGTTTGAAGAAGGTGAAGTCGATCATGGCCTGAAACAAAGAGGTAGCCTTCTCCGAGTGGCCAGCCTGCCGCAGGAAGTGGCACTGCTGAACAAAGAGTGCTGTGACCAAGAGAACACAGGGAGAGTGCGGTTAGTCCCACAGCCAGAGACCCCAACTGCTCACGCACACAACGGCACATCTCTGGCCTGGTGTGACTGCTCTGTTTTCAAAGCTGCAATGCATACATGTCCCGAGGTCAAAGGGGTCACAACAGCATTGCAAATAAAGTAATGTATTCAAGGTCTGAAACCATCAGAGATACAAAAAAAAATCACACAGAAAAAATACAACTGGTCAAGGAATGGTCAGGATGTCAGCTATTACATTCTCAAAGCCCACTATTACCAGCAAAGTTACAGAAATCCGATGACATTACAGATTTCCATCAGGGAACAAAGCTCTCATTCAGTGCATCACCAGATGGCATCACACACCAGCTCCATTAACAGGCTCCGGGTGTGCGACTCTGGGTTCATCTTCTTGCAGCACAATTCCATTTACTAAATAGCATGAAGGTGGAGTGAATGTTAATCTGTGGTTAAGATGCCCATGGCTCACACAGAATGCCAGGGTTCAAGTCCTAGCTCCACTCCAGGCTCCAGCTTCCTGCCAATGCAGATCCGGGGAGGCAGTGTTGGTGGCTCAAGGAACTGGGCTCCTGACACCCAGTGGGGAGTGTGGATCCAGTTCCCTGCTCCTGGCTTCAGCCTTGGTTCAGCCCCAGCTATCTCAGGCATTTCAGGAATGAACCAGCAGAGGGGATTCAAACAAAAACATTAAAAAAATAATAAACAGCACTGGGCCCAGTGCAATAACTGAACTAAACACCTCCTGGTGTTCATATGGACATTAGTTTGTGTCCCAGCTGCTCTACTTCTAATCCAGCTCCCTGCTTATGCCCTCAGATAGCAGTAGAAAATGGCCCAAAGCTTTGGGACCGGGCACACACACAGGAGATCTGAAAAAGCTCCTGGCTCATGTTTCAGGCCAGCTCAGCTGCAGCCACTGTAGCCATTTGGAAAGTGAACCAGCAGATGCATAAAATGTTATTCTAGGTTCCTCTGGGACAGCCAAATGTGTTAATAGATTACATCAATAATGTGTACCTATGCAACGATGGCTCCAGTCAAGTGGGACTCTAGCGAGTACATTCCTGTCTGACACTCTGGTACTGAGTGACACACGCACAGCAATGTCAACAGACGAGGCCATTAACAGCCAATGCAGCGAGAGGCTTGACTGTAGTTCCTTGGTCAAAGAGGAAAACTGGAATGCGTTGTCAGTGAACCCTCACCGTACTGGCTCTGATGGCCCCTACATGCCAGGAGAGCTGGGGAAAGGGGGGCAATCATCAGGATCAAGGTTATAATGCTTCTTGGTCATCTCCTTACCAAACATGGCCTCTTCCGTGCCAGGCAACGCCGGGTGAGATAAGACACTGCCGTCCTTCACAGCAGACAAAGTACTCAGGCACTTTCCATAAAGACTGTGAATCTTCGACACTGAAAACGTGCTGAACTGGCTCTGGCAAAACAGAAGGTACTTCTGCCAAAGGGCTGCGTTATTGGGGTGTAAAAAGATGAGCTTCTGCCACTCTTTGACCAGAGCAGGGGGCTCCCAGAACTCGGCACAGAGCTGCAGCTTGGCCAGCTTGAGCTCCACGCTGCTCGGGTTGCTCTCGATGGCCCGCTCCAGGACAGCCAGCTTCTTCTCCAGGAGCAGCTTCAGGGACTTTCTCCGCTTCTCCTGCTCACCTTCCTCGATGGCATACAGCCCGGGACTCCTGATTACCTCATCCTCAACAAGAAAAAACATGGTGTCAATGCAACTGCGGATTCTTATTCAACGCCTTCACAGACTTACGCACAGCCCCAATGGCTCTTCGACCCCTCAAATGAACTCGGACCTTCTCCATAACCACTTAACAAGTAAAAGGCTGGTTCCCAAGGTGCCCATGTCACGAGGCTTATTTGATCCTGTGCCTCCTTCACCTATTTGCCCATCTACTTGCTGATATTTTAAACCTGGATTTATGTATCGATAATTGGCATATAATCCTTGGAAAGCTTTCCTGAAGGGTCAACCTTACCAACAAAATGACCAAAGGTAGGATAAATAGTGCTAAGTGTATGAGTGACTCCACAGGAGGGTCGAGGACAACTCGATGGGGTACCGCAGGAAGGGGGTGCCCAGCTCCACCCAGGCCACCTCCTGAGCAACCCTCCTCCATGCCCGGTGCATCCACTCCTCTCCCTAGATTCTGTTCCAATGCCCCCTGCTCCTAGCACCCCTCCTCCCTCCAGGTGGTGAGCCACTCCCTCAGTCTGTTTCCAATCATACACAGTATCACTGACTACCCAGGTTAAGGTCAGTCCTTACAAGAGGTTTCTTCATGGGACTGTGAGCACTCAGGGCTGTACCCTAACCATCTGCCCGGGGCCAGGGTTCCTCACAGCAGCTCGAGGTGCTGTCCCAAAGCAGGAATGGCACCCTGAGAGACAGGAACCAGGATGTCCACTCACCTGGAAAGCAACAAATGCCATCCACAGCTGAATATCCCGGGGGTTCTCCCGAATTTTCCTGTTGAACTCCTCAACCTTGGCCTTGAGAGCAGCACTCTCTCTGTCCGCCTGTGAGTCAGGCTGCTTCGACTCTGGCTCTGAGGGACCCTGTCCGTGTAACCACTGCGTGGTTGACTGATCATAAATCCCCAGAGGATTCAGCCAGCTTGCAACAGGAGGAGCCACGTCATCTGCGTCCTTCACTGGGATAAACAGTTCGGGCTCAGTGGAGGGGGGCACAGTCTTACTGGTAATGGCGACACCGTCCAAGTTCATCAAGCCCACATTCTTCTTTGTGAAATAGCGCTCAACGTGCTTATGTGAACGCTTCTTTTCTGTGGAAGCCCCTTCCCAAGATATACACTGCTTCTTGGGGTTGATGCCAAGGCAGGAGTCTCCCTTCCTCTTGTACCTTGTATTAGAAAAAGAGAGTTACTGAGAGTGCAGGCACATGCCTCATGATGCGCAAAAGCTTATTAGGCCCAAACCATTACTTCTATCTTTTATTTATTATTATTATCATTATTATCATTTTATGATACAGTTCCATAGGCTCCTGGGATTTCCCTTATCCCTTCCCCAATTCCCCCTCCTCCCCACTGAGTTTCTCTATATCATTTCTAAGTATAGTTCTCCATGCACAGTCATATGTCCATTATTATGGGCATGGACAATGACAGAGTTCATCATCCTATTGTGATACAGTAAGCAGTTTCATTGGGAGTCCATCTTTAGTCTGGAAGTAGAGATGCATACTGCATTGTATCCTCACATCTGGATGTTAGTGTCCACTTCACAGTTACTGTACATCCTCCTATTCCGCCATCTTGACTCTTCCTAGACCCAAACCCTAATGTGAAAGTGAGCTAACTGCAGGCAGATGAATCTGCCTTCCCTTCACACTGGTCTATTCAGACCCGCACAAGGAGTAGCTGCCTGGATTCACTTCCTCCTCTAGCGCTCCACTCCTAACATCTCATGAACTGAAAACCAAGCCAGTCTCCAGGACGTCACAGAAACTCTTCTGGAGCTCTACAACTAAGGTGCCACTGCCACAACACACAACGTGTCGTCTGACCAGCACAGCTATACGCGACAGGCAAGGCTGAGGTCACCCTCCCTACTGCCACACTGTCTCTAAGGGAGGATGCAGAGATCCTGGAACACAGGGACTCCTGGGGCAGCTGTCTGCAGTTCACTTCAAATGTGTCAGGGAAAACAGACGCACGACATGTGATAAAGCCAGTTCACTAACATGTCAATGGTGGAACACAGGGTGGGTACTGAGTGTGCACACAAAACTGTCCCGGTTTCTGCTGCATATTTACAAGTTCTAGAATAAAATGCTGGGTGAGAAGAGGCTGAGGAATGCTGCCTCCAACTTGTCAGCTCCCAGAAAACACTGCCTCCCTTCACGCCGGGCAGCCATGGCCTCCTGGCTGATCCACTGTCCTTGGGCACCAGCCCTGATCCTGTAAATTTTTAGTGATATTAATGAGTTAGGGCTACTGAAATAGTATTAATTAAGGAGAGAAAAACCAGCTTTGTTTCAAGCTGAAACTTAACAGCCGCATCTATCTAGAGTTCAGTTAAGGTTGCTTTTGACTTGAGCAATGGAATCTAATCATCCTGGGAAGAGCTGGGTGTGAGGCTAGACAGGAGTGGAGAGAGCAGTAACGTGTATGTGAGAAAAGCCTGCCCTGGTGCAAACTTTACTGAGGGCCACGGCAGGATTCGGATCAGCTCAGCTCTGGCTGTTGCGGTCATCTGGGCAGTGAACCAATGGAGGGAAGATCTTCCTGTCTCCCCTTCTCTCTGTAAGTCTGCCTTCCCAATAAAAATAAATCTTAAAAACAACAAAACAAAACAAAACAAAACAAAAACCGTCTTCTTTGGCCTCCCATTCCGTGACTCGGTGCTTTCCAGACCTGAAGACTACCTGGGGACAGGGAGCAGCTGTCTTCAGCCTCACTAGTGTCTTGCCAAGTACTCAATATCTAAAGGAGTTAGTAAGTACAAGCATTACTCTTCAATGAGTTATTTTAAAACTCAGTTAGCTTGAAGGTAGAAAGCTGGGGACACACAGTGTCTAAGAGAGCAACTGAGAGAACTCCCCAGGCACTGGCTCACTCCCCAAACAGCCATCACAGCTGGGCCAGGGGTGGGCAGGCTGCACAGGAACTCAACCCAAGCCTCCAAGGTAGATGGCACGCACCCAGCCATTTCAGTCATCACACGCAGCCTCGCAAGGCACCCACAGGAGGCTGGACACATGGCCTTCCAAGGCGCCCACAGCAAGAGGCTGGACATGCAGCCTTCCAAGGTGCCCGAAGGAGAAGGCTGGACATGCAGCCTCGCAGGGCGCCCACAGGAGGAGGCTGGACACGCGGCCTCGCAAGGCGCCCAAGGCTGGGATGGGAGTGCAGCTAGCACACTACCACCACACTGTAATATGGTATGTGGGCATTCCAAGCATCTTAACCACTATGTCAAATAACTGCCCCTCATGTATTTTTGATTGATGGATCAGAAATTTCAAAAACATTACTGAAGTAAATACCCTCACTTATTTTATCATTATGTATGCTGTAAACTTTAAAAAAAAAATCATTAGCAGTTAAGTCTTTTTAAGGACACACATGGAACGCAGATAAATAAAAGGTCCCATCACTCGTTACTTTGTAAAACACCACACAGATTAGACCAAGTGATTTTTGGACACTCCCACCAAAATTAATCACAAGGTATTCTTGGATCCATTCAATCAACAAACACTGTACCATGCCAGGCACTGAAAGCCAAGCACCAGGAGTAGGCAGAGGCTCCACTGGCCTCAGGCAGAAGCTCTCTCTTCAGGACATGAGATGGAATCTCATTGCTTCCTGGCTTTTTAGCTAAGATCAAGTGTGAGATGAAGTCTGTGTCTCCACACGTGGTCGTTCCTAACACTCAGTAGAACCCAGCCACACCACCACACAGAAACACGTTACTTCCCACCAGCGACAACCAGAGAAATACAATGCCTACCTTGCTATGTGGCCTCGGTAGAGTGACTTGTACTCCCAGTTGGCAGGATCAGGCTTCTTGTCTGTCCTGAAGGTCTCTCCAGTCAGAGCCTGAACATCCTCAAGCCAAACAAGGTGAAGTCCAGGGTCGGCAGCAGCGGCACTTCCTGGGCTGTGGATGCAGGAGGGGACGGAGGAAAAGGGAGAGGCGCTTCAGAACTCTGTGACGTACCTGGCATTCTCAGAAACGCAGGCTAGACATTCCCACCGCACATGTGGAGAACTCCCTAGTCCACAGAAATATGTACCTGCCACCGAGAGGGAAAGAGCTCTTCAAAACAAGCACTCACCACAAAATGACACTTCACCAGAAATAAACCTAAGGTCACAGGAGTTTATTTTTTTAAATATTCATTCAAATGATTCTAACTTGACAGTCAAACAGATCTATATGCCAAGGGTTTCTGTGGGAAACACTTGTGCCTAGGGGCACAGCAAAAAGCCAAGTGGAGGCAGTGGCCACCTTCAGAGGAAAACCAGCAACACTCAGGTGTGTTGGGGAGGGTGCTGTCTCCCCTTCACCCAGCCCATCCCAAAGTGTGCACTGTACTGCAGCTCAAAGCAACAAACAGCCACTGCCCTGACTGGCTCAGCCTCTGTGTGTGGTGTCATGCCCACATCCCGCCAGCCTGCAGGAAGGGAACAGTCCTGTGAGTCCACAGCAGGTTGAGACCCAGCCCACTCACACACAGAACCGCCTCGCTGGGAGTCACGTAGGCAGAGGGTTTGCTGGCTCCTACCATCTCTCTTCCTCTAAAGAAATTTATTTTCTAACAAGAAGCCACCCAGACCATCTCAACACCCATAACTGTTGCTCAACCCTTGCTTCTTAGCTCTGCCCAAATACAAAGAAAGCTTCCTGAAGCTTCTAAATCATTCTTGGCAGAAAATATGGGGCAGTGGCATTGCAAGGACACAAAGCAGTAAAAGGCTTCATGTTAAAACACCATGATTTTAACACACTTATCCTACAACAAACATGAGGGGTTTTCTGTCTTCACGAACCAAAGGGACAAGAAAAGGCAGCAGGGAGAGTTGACCAGAAACACAATGATGCATTCTGGAAAGAACTGGAAAGGCAACTGGGAAGGAAAACCAAAGGGCAGCTGCAGAGCACCTGTGTGGAGTCAGCAAGCCCTGAACCCTCCCTCTCAGGGCAGAGACCAGCAAGCAAGACACACTAGGCTCGTGCGACCAATGTCTGCTCCACCCAAGGTGCACACACACTCAGGCCAGGAAAGGGCAAGCAGGGGCCTCGCCTCTGGTGGAGCCGCCACCTGGTCCCCAGGAACCGAGCCCCGTTAGCGTGCCCTCCTGCACTTACCTGCCCTGACAACACGGAAGCCTCTCAGCTAACTGATACCACAGGCCCTAGCTGGAGAAGCAACCCCCTTCCTGCCCCTTCCTGGAAAAGGTAACAACAAGGACAAGAACGAACTTCAGTGACCCACCAGACTGAAACATGCTATCTGCATCATAAGCCACCAAGAGGTTGTTTCACTCTGAGGGTGAAGCACCGGCTGGCAGGAACTGGCTTCAAGTTCTAATCGCACTTCCTATGTGGTTTGGGGACATTCTTTAAAATCCTTTTCCTCAGCTACAGAAAAGGATAAGTCACTAAAAGGTGAGTTTTCAAGCTATTTTAACTATATCTTCTGAAGTCTCACTAAAAAAATTATTTATAATCATTCTTCAGCAGAAACCCACAGGACGTCTCTGCAGTGGGCTGGCTAAGCGCCGGCGCCACAAGGGATGATTCTGGCCAATTCACAACTGCCCTCGCTCCCTTGCTCCTTCCTAACGGGAAGCTTGGGTTGCAGGACAACAACCACGGGATGCACAGGTACGAACTCTAGGATCCCCGGAGCCACAGGGGGCTGCACCCCACTGCCTACACCCCACTGCCCAGAGGCCCTGGAGTCAGAGAGGCCTGCACCCCACTGCCCACACCCCACTGCCCACAGGCCCCGGAGCCAGAGGCCTGCACCCCACTGCCCACAGGCCCCAGACCCACACAGGCTTGCACCCCACTGCCCACTATGGATCCCAGGAGACCACCACACACAGGACAAAAGAAACAATCTCAGAAGAGTTAGAAACATCTCAACAACATGCGTTTTTTGTAAAGTTTGCCCTGAAGAGGCACTTAAATTTACTCTTGTAACAATAATATGTCTGTAACAAACAATATGTTAAATTATCAGTAACTCAGGGAATTCACCACATATTGCTCAGCTGACTGGTAAGCAAGGCACTGCCCATGGAGGGGAGCGACAGCAGGCAGAGGGAAAACGCGGCTGGCACCTAAGCTGTGACCGCTCTAACAACCTCAGCACGCTCAGCAGAGAGCAGAGTGAAATGTTGGGGAGACACAGCACCCCCAGGAGAGGGAGCCCAACACTGCAGTCAGGAGCTGTTTTACACCTTCAGCATGGCGCTCCTAAACCAGGGAGGGAGGACGGAGGCAACTCCCCAGCAAGGAGTCCCTGGAGGGGAACATCAGCAGGCCCAGCTCCCACCTCTGAAGAACCACCCCACCCCCCAGACTCTTGCTCTCAATCAGACGCCAATATAACTACTACTCTGTTTAGTCAACATTACTCAGTCACGTCCATGGGGTTTTTTTTTAATAGTACTTGTCCTTTTCTTCTTACGTTCCTCTGGAGGTACAGCTCCCTTGTGGCTCAGTGCCTAATGTGGGCCAACAACCAAGGGCGAACCCTGGGATCTCGAGTGCCGCAGCCCCTGAGAGTGCAGCCTACCTTGGCTTCCCAGACGCCCTCCTGCCGCCTCGGGAGGAGCCGTCCTGCTCGGAATCCGAGCCCGAGGCCGAGCCGCTGCTGCCCGACCGCCCACGCTTCCTCTGGGACTTCTCCCGATGCCGATGCTTCCTTCTGCTCCTTCTCTCCTTCCTCTTCTTCCTACTCGCCTGTGTGGGCTTTTGATCGCTGCCACTCTCATCGGTACCCTCCAATTTCAGAGAATCCCTATTTGGGAAAACTAGCTTTAGAATTTTCAAGAGACACTGGGAAAATAATACGTAAACAAGTAAGTAAACAGGCAATAAGGAAAACTCCAAAAATACTGTTTGCCTATTTGCTACAGCATCTACCTGAATTACAATTTAAATACTTTAAAGACTTAACAATTAGATCTAGACAAAAACAAATGAAGAAATTCTTAGTAGTTTTTAAATACATATTTTGCATGTAAATAAGGACAATTCAAAAGTCTGTAAAAACAGAACTAAAACCTAAGTTCTAGGCAAGCCCACATTTCCCATCAGAGTGCCCACTGGAATCCAGTTCTCCTGCTTTCAATCCAGCTCCCTGGTAATGCGCCTAGGAAAGCAGACGGCCCTCGACCTCAGGCCTCTGCACCCGAGACTCGGAAGGCGCCCCACCCAGCCCTGCGACTCTGCCTTCCAAATAAATATACACAAAACCTTAATGTATTTTGATACAAAATTTTCCTGAAATCAACAACACACTTTCATGAACTTTCAAAAAATCTTCATCTTTAAGTGAAAGCATTTACCATTTACTTTATCAAATATAGTATTTTTAGAAATAACTGTAAAAAATCAATTTATCTGAAAGGTAGAGTTACGGGGTGGGGTGGGCGAGAGGAAATCTTTCCTCTGTTGGTTCCCTCCCCCAAATGAACAGAGCAGCGGCTGGGCCAGGCCAAAGCCAGAAGCCTGGCACCCCATCTGGGTCTCCCACACGAGCACAGGGGTCATGCTGTCCCAGGCCCATAAGTAAAGGAGCTGGACTGGAAGCGGAGCAGCTGCGATTCCAACGATGCTCACGTGGGATGCTGGTGCCACGGCGCAGGTGATGGCTTAACCTGGTGCACCACAGTATTGGCCCCTCAAACACAGTATTTTTATAGCAACCTCATAAAAGATTTATGCTCAGTGTCACGTATCATGTTAACATGTCCTTACTGTAAAACAAAGGTTTGATTACGGTCCCTGTCGCGGAAGCCAACAATGAACTCTTGCAAACAGCCTCTTGGACATCAGCTAGTCTCCAGTTCCAAAGGCTCCACACACACCGAGGACGGGGCTTTGTAGGATTCCACCAGATTAACACAACCACAGCACATCTAGTCTCCATTTGTGTGGAAGTGTATTTTTTTAATTCCATGATCTTCCATAAAACCTTTCACAACTGGATATATTCTGCTTACCCCGATGAGAACAATTTTATCCCATAATTATAAGCTCCTCTTATTTCTACAGGAAAGTTAAAAATGTCAACTAGAGAAATACCCGAGCTACAATAAGCACCCTAAGGCCCCAGGAGGTCAGCCGCGGCCTTCACCAGCACAGTGACCCGACTCCCTCGCAGCTCCCACACAGGCGCTAACTGTGGCAGGCCCTCACCAGGGCAATGCAGAGGGAGCCATGAGTGATGGGTACAAGGGAGGTAAAGGGGAAGGGCCCCAAGATCACTCAGCAGGTCAGACAGCGAGCTGACGAGCTCCGCTACAGCGCCTCATCTCAGCCAAGCTGCAGAGAGGGAACAAAGACCAAACCCCAGGTGAGAGAGTTACCTTGTCAACGGGACCCCGCCGCCAACCACAGCTGCCGGCTTCTCAGCCTGGTGGGTCAGCAACGTCAGGCTTTCAACAGAAAAGCTTGGGTTGCTCAGCCAGTCTAATTCTGCACATGCAAAGAGATAAAAGATCAATGAAATTAGCTCAATGTGATCTCTAGAGCAAGAAATCCATCTATCTTATAAAGTGCCGTCTTAATTCGAGGTCGCTATCAGACACGTGGACAAGCACATGCGCTAGAGCACTCCCACCTGCTGGCTCACAGCCACAACGGCCAGGACTGGGCTGGTGCCAGGCCAGAGTGGCAAACCTGACCCAGCTACCCAATGCTGGTGTTGCAGGTGGAGGTTTAGCAGCTAGACCACAATGTCACCCTTCCCCTTCCCCCCACGCCCTTAAAACTGTTGCTGTGGGGCCTGGTGTGGTAGCCTAGTGGCTGCATCCTCACCTTGCAAGCACCAGGATCCCATATGTGTGCCAGTTCATACCCTGGCTGCTCCACTTCCCTTCCAGCTCCTTATTTGTGGCCTGGATAAGCAGTGGAGGATGGAGAACGCATTGGAACCCTGCACCCACATGGGAATACTGGGAGGAGGCTCCTGACTCCTGGCTTCAGATCAGCTCAGCTCCATCCAGCCTTTGTGGCCATTTGGGGAGTGAACCAGCAGACAGAAGATCTTTTTCTCTGTATATCAACCTTTCAAAAAAAAAATATACATCTAAAAAAAAAAAAAACTATTGCTATGTTGTGGCAAGGCTTCAAGGAATGAAGGTAGGAACAGGGCCCAATGTGGTAGCCTAGTGGCTGAAGTCCTTGCCTTGCTTGCGCTGGGATCCCATATGGGCACCAGTTCATGTCCCAGCTGCTCCACTTCCCTTCCAGCTCCCTGCTTGTGGTCTGGGAAAACAGCAGAGGGCGACTCAAAGCCTTGCTACCCTGCACCCGTGGGAGACCTGGAGTAGGCTCCTGGCTTCCGATTGGCTCAGCTCCGGCCATTGCAGAGCACTTGGTGAGTGAGCCAGCAGACGGAAGATCTTTCTCTCTGTCTCTCCTCTTTATAAATCTGACTTTTCAATAATATATATATATCAAAAAAAAAAGGCATAAAAATGGGGAGTTCAGTTCCCTGCTAACGCACCTGGGGAGACAGTGGAGGATGCGCCAAGTGCTCAAGCCCTGCACCCACATGGGAGACAGGAGGAAGCTCCGGCTTCGGACTGGCCCAGACCCAGCAGCCATTGCAGCCGTTTGGGGAGTGAACCAGCAATTGGCAAACCTCTCTACCTATGTATTTCCCTATTTCTTTAATTCTTTCAAATAAATAAAATTTTTTAATCTTAAAAAAAAAAAAAGCAGAGTAAAGTAAAACATTCAAGCACTGAGGAGCTCACAGCTTGGGGGCTGCTGCTCTGGCCATAACAGGTGTACGGTGTGCCTGTCCATTGAGCCCACAGGTCAAGGACAAGCCTTCAGTGCTGAACGAGTAGCCCTCCACACTCCTTCCCAAAGGTGATGCCCCTTCAGCCTTGGCCCAGCTCCAACAGCGCAGAGCAGAGCCCCTCACTCCCCCACCTGTTCCCTGACTTGCCTGTCCAGGAGTTGAACCGCTCCTGAATCCAAACTCTGCACCCACCAACACTAACACTATCTTACACTCTTTAGTAACATGTCAGTGTGAGAAGAAAATACAATGTTTCTATTTATAATAGCACAAGAGTGGAAATGGTCCAAGTGTCCTTAGTAGGGGACCAACGGATAAAGTATGTGACATCCATTCAATGGAGTTCTGAGCACCAACAGAGAAATACATAAAAACAGCTAGATTCAGTACTCTTCTGTCAGAGCGATGTCTAGACTGAGGGTAAAGACAGAATGGTAGGTATTTAAGGGGGCCCGTTGTGATGGCTTAAATGGCTATTCCTCCCTCATAAGCACTGGGATCCCTTATGGACACTGGTTTGAGTCCCAGGTGATCTACTTCCCATCCAGCTCCCTACTCACGGCCTGGGAAAGCAGTAGAGAATGGTCCAAAGCCTTGGCATCATGAACCTGCATGGGAAACCTAGAAGAAGCTCCTGGCTCCAGGCTTTGGATCAGTTCAGCTCTGGCTAGTGTGGCTATGTGAGGAGTGAACCCACAGATGAAGGATCCGACTCTCCTTCTCTCTGTAAATCTGCCTTTCCATTAAATAAAATAAACTGGGCCTGGCACAGTGGCCTAGTGGCTAAAGTCCCTAAAGTTCTCGCCTTGAATGCACCAGGATCCCATATGGGCGCCAGTTCATATCCTGGCTGTTCCACTTCCCATCCAGCTCCCTGCTGGCCAGGGAAAGCAGCAGAGGACGGCCCAAAGCCTTGGGACCCTGCACCTGCCTGGTGGATTGAAAACTTTTCTCTCTCCTTCTCTCTGTAAATCTGCCTTTCCAATTAAAAAAAAAAAAAAAGGCCAACTATTGGCCTGTCCACCCTGCAAATATTTACTGAACACCTACTACATTTGAACTAAGTATGCAACAATGAATCCCGGCAAGGAAAACCACACCACGCTCATCACCAAGGAAATTATTCAGGGCTAGAAGTGTCACCAACAGGCGAGTCTAAGAACCAGCAGAGCACACTGCCACAGCCTGAGGACGCCTCTAGAACTTGCACCCTCCCAGGTCCAATACCACCCAGGCTTGGGGTGTCCACTGACGGAAACCCGACCGGTACAGCATGCATCTTTGGGGCCTGACAGCTGAGCCTCCACCAGACACGGCTGCTGCACTTCAAAGACCGGCAGAGCCAGCTAGAAGGAAGCGGGGACCCTGGCCCGTCGGGACCACTTCCCACGGCCCGTCGACCTGCAGGTCTCGGCTGCTGAGCTCCTTGACCCGGCTCTGGTTCTGAGGACCGTGCAAGTCTAGAATAAAGGGCAGCTGGGCTCTCTACATCGGCTGTCCCCAGGTGGCTTCAGTTTTACCAGCAGCGCTCCCGGGTTGTCAAGACCACCTCCACCTGGAGCCCTACAGGGCTGCTCGAGGCTCAACCAGGAGACAGGATAAGGAGCTCAGAAGCGCAACAGGAAAAGGGATAAATTCCCGGGAGAGCACTTGCAAAAATTTCGCGGACAACTAAGATGACAAGTATCTGGGGGACTAAAAAAAGAAAACTTGGAAACCCGTGCAGCGATAAGCCCTTCCCACGGCCTTCGTGAAGACCCCCGCGCAGGAACCGATCTCCTTCTGCCCCGAAACAAGCCTCTCCGGACTTGCTCAAGCACCGCGGTCCTCACAACACGTCCAGCGGGAGCTGACAGGTGTCTCCCCTTTAAACACAGAGCGCCTCAGGCCTCCACCACTCCGGCAACACCTGGCCTCGGCTCCCAGGCCTCTCCCCTGTCTTCCTCACGCTCCTACCACCCTCCGCGCTGCCTGCCCCCCAACAGAGACCCCCCGGCCTGCAAAGCCGGAACCCCGAAACCTGCGGCCCTCCCAGAAGGCTGTGCTGCGCCGCGGAGAACTCTGGGATACAATGTCCGCACAGGCCCAGCCCCGGGCCCGTGAAACGGCCTCTCGAGCCCACAGAGATAATTCTGCGTTCTTACCTTTCCTGGCGCTCCCACCCTCAGCGGCCTCCCTCACGCCCGCAAACGCCGGGAACAGCGCCATCGCCCCAGCTGGCACAGCAGTTCCCCGATACAGAAATGGCGGCGGCAACCGGACGCCGGTTTGAAGGTTCCGCCGTCACGGTGCATGCTGGGAAACGTGGCGGCCAGGACCCACGGTGGGGGCGGAGAGCTTGGGGCGGGGCCCGCGGAGGGGCGGGGCTAGGAAGGGTCGCTTTCTTGACACTTCAGGCCAGCGATTGTGTGTGTTGTAACAGCAAGTTCAACTTTGAGCCATGCAAGAGACCCACACCAAACGGGTTAGCGGCTCAGACACCCCAGAGAGACGGAAGCCTGCGAGAACTTAGGGGGTCCCAAGGTCTCTTTCAGAGCACACCTCTGCCTGCCTGTAAGCTAAACCTGGGCAAAGCCTTCTACCAGAAATACAGGAGCTTAAGAGCGTGCCATGGCCCGTGGCAGCAGTCAGCCAAAATCAGAATGCAGGAAACTACAGAACGCCAATCACCGAGTTTCTCTGAGGAATTCGGTGACAGTGAGAGTGCAAGACAAACGCAAATCGAAGTCAACACAACAACCCACTGTGATTCTTTGTGTTTAAAATGTGATTTGAAAGGAAGAGAGAGATACAGCCTCTCTGATTTTCCATCCGCTGGCTCACTCTCCGATGGCTGCAACGGCGGAGACTGGGTTAAGTCAGCCAGGAACAGCCAGTCCACCTGGGTGTCCCAAGTACTTGGGCCATCTTCTGCTGCTTTCCCAGGCGCCTTAGCAAGGGGCTGCATGGAAGTGGAGCAGGGAGACTCACCCCAGCGCCCACATGCGCGTGACTTTCCCTGCTATGACGCTAGGTGATTCTTGTTAATTCTGCTAGGTGGAACCATCAAAGGCACTGAGGTTGCAAACTGATTTTTTTTTAAGCTTAACAATAAATGGTAGTTTTGAATAAATCAAATGTTAACCTTTTAAATGAGGGATTGATGGGCAGGCTTTGGCTAGCTAAGACATCGCTTGGGATGAGCCCATGCGTATTGGAGTGCCCATCTCTGCCCCCAGTCTCGGCTCCTTAACTGACACATATGCGAGAAGGCAGCAGGCGATGGCGCAGGAACTTGGGTGCTTGCTGCCCATGCGAGAGCCAGGTGGGGTTTCAGGCTCCCCGCTTTGGCCTGGCTCACCCCCAGGCACTGTGGACATTTGGGGCATGAGACAGCAGAGAAGTGCGCCCTCTCTCTCTCTTCCTCTAATTCCTTCTCAAGCAAATAAGTAAATATGCATATTTAAAGATTTATTTATTTTCATTTGAAAGGAAGATTTACATACAACAGAGAGGAAAGACAGAGAAGTTTTCCACCCATTGGTCCACTCCCCCAAAATGCCTGCATTGGCAGGAGCCGGGCTGATCTGAAGCCAGCAGCCAGGAGCTCTTGGGTCTTTCACATGGAAGTAGAGTATCAAGGACTTGGGCCATCCTCTACTGTCTTCCCAGGTCAGAAGCAGGGAGCTGGATCAGCAATGGAGCAGCTGGGACTTGAACCGGCATCCATGCCGGGATGCTGTTGCTGTAGGCAGAAGCAAAACCTGCTCAACACATTCCCCAATAAGTTTCTTAGATATATTTTTTAGGGGCAGCACTGTGGCACCAAGGCTGAGTCCTTGCCTTTACACCTGCATCCCGTGTCAGAGTGCTAGTTTCAGTTCAAGCACCTGTGCTTTTGGTCCAGCTCCCTGCTAATGTGTCCTCGAGGGCAGCAGGCAATGGCCCAAACGCTTGGTTCCTGCCACACACAGGGCAGGGGAGGGCAGAGGCTCTGGTCCCTGGCTTCCTCCTGGCTCAGCCCTGAGTGTCCGCACCATTTCGAGAATGAACCAGAGAAGTTAAGACCTGTCCCTCCCTCTGTCCTTCAGGTGGGTGGGAAAAAATGAATAAATGTATTTAAAAAGAAAAGGCACATTTTAACTACATAGACTTAAGACTTATTTTCATTTGAAAGACAGATTTGCAAAGAAGGAGAGAGAAAGGGGCCATGACAAGGAAACATTAAGCCTACAGAAGGATCAGTAGACTGAGACCTGGTAGTATCTAGCATCAAAGACACCGTCCAGATGATACAGTGCTGGGCAGCTAGTTCAGGGTTGCTGGGGTCCGTGTGATGGGTGTGGAAGACAGGAAGGTGTGAAGAGTATAGTTCCTTTGCAGGCAGGGTCGCAAGGAACTTCCTGCTGTGTGGCAAGGCCCGGTGGATGTCTCTACAACACCTGAATGCAGCTCTGCCTCCCTTTGCATGGACACCGGACAACCCCGCTGAGTATTCTGTAATCTATTTAGGCATTGTCTGCCTCTGCGGAGTTACTGTTAAACGTCAGTAGGAACTTAGAAGCTAATGTTGCTAGTGCCGTTTTCAGCCAAAGAGCTATTATCGCTGTTAGGGCTGCGTCCTGTGGCAATATGTTAATCAAGAGTGTTAACTCCCCCTTTTTGATCCTATGCTAATCTTTTAGGTCCCTTCCTTCCTTGACTGTCTCAAGACCTAGCTGTAAAGTAATTGTGGTAGGAATGTGCTACTGACTGATATGCATCATCTATTGAAAACCTTTTCCTAGCCAGGCACCAGTTGGTTAACATTCTATCCTTAGGTGAAACAAATGGCAGAGTTATCTTTGGAAACACCCACTTGACCATGACGTAAAAAGTCTGAGCCAGAGTTTGACTGATTTTGTATAAATAAAGCGGACAGCTTTTGTGCGTAGTCCATTATGATGATGAAGAGTTACTAGTGGTCCGTCTCTTTCTTTCTTTCTTTGCGCCTCATCCATGCACCCTTCGCGAGTTCCGAACTCAGCTGGAGCTGGACTCCGGCACAGGGTCATGGGTTTGGAAGTTCTAAACGACAGAAGGAATGAGTGAATGAAGGCATAAGAGGTCATTTGCACTGCCAGTGACACCGTCTCTCCTGCCCAAGGTTTGTCCCATGGTTGGTGTTTTTCAGTGAACTGAGAACATGCTTAAATGGAATAGTTCATCCCTTTGAGGACTGAGGCAGGCATAGAGGCTTTTTAAATTAGAAAATAAAATATAAGTCAGGGCCAACATTATGACATCATGGATAATGCCACCACCTGCAATGGTGGCATCCCACATGGGTGCTGGGTCCTGCCCCAGCTGCTCCACTTCTGGTCCTGTTCCCTGTTAAGGGCATGCAGAAGCAGCAGAAGATGGCCCCAGTGCTTTGGTCCCTGCTACCTGCATGGGAGATCCAGAAGAAGCTCTGAGCTCCTGTCTTTGGCCTGATGCAGGACCCACTCCTCTGGTCATTTGGGGAACCAGTAGATGGAAGACCTCTCTCTCCCTATCTTTGTAACTCCGACTTTTAAATTTTTTTTTATTTTTAAAGATTTATTTTCATTTGAAAAGTAGAAGGAAAGATAGGGAAGGTCTTCCATCCACTGGATAACTCCACAAATGGCTGCAACAGCCAGAGCTGAGCTGAACTGAAACCAGGAGCCAGGAGCTTCTTCTGGGTCTCCCAGATTGATGCAGGGTCCCACAGCTTTGGGCTGTCCTCTATGTTTTCCAGGCATAATCAGAGAGCTGGATTGGAAGTGGAGCATTCAGGACATGAATCAGCACCCATATGGGACACACCACATGATGGAGGATCTGCCTATTCAGCCATGGTGCCAGCCCCTTAATATTTTTTAAGATTTATTTTTACTTATTTATTCATTGAAAGGCAAGAGAGATGAAGCTTTTGGCTCTTGGCTTCAGCCTGGCTCACTCTTTGGGAGTGAACCAGTGGATGAAAGACACTTTTTCCCTCTCTCTCTCTCCCCCAGTTTCTATCACTCTGCCTTTCAAGCAGGTGAAAAATCAACATTTAAAAAAGAAAACTCCAGAAGGAGTCCTCATTTATTGCCAACTTAATTTGCTGCAAATAAGGAAAATCACTTCCAAAGCAGTGGAAAGGAAATGAGCACCTTTTCTTTTCGGGGAAATGAACATACAAATGGGGAAGTTCTTGTTATCGTGCAGAGGTGGGCACAAGTTCTTGCAGGTGTAAGTTCAGAAACATTCACCAACATAGGTTTCATGGTACAGGAATGAGGCCTACCCACCTCCTGGGGCAGAGATCTCAGCAGTAAAACAAAGGGATGGACGCTGCCTTGCACACTCACTCGCACCTGTGCAGGGTCTGGACCGGTTCAGGGTGGCTGGTGGCTGCCTCCGTCCGCAGACCATAACTAAAAACCTGAAAAACAACCTGAGAGAACATTGAGTGCTTTGGAAGGTTCAGGGTCTCAAGGTGGGAATGAGTCCAAGAAAAGATGTGAGTTCCTGGGCACTGGCTGGTAACATAAGGAGCCCTTTGTGCTCAAGGCTAAGCCTGGGATACAAGTTTGGAAAGGTTTCAAAGGTGACCTGCATCTTCTTGGGAGGCTCGCTCGTTAACTAGCACTGCTTCCAAAGTCATCTGAAGGTTCAGCTTTCGTTGGGATGACAGCTTCAGGGCTGGGAAAGCAGTAGAGGGTGGCCCAAACCTTTGGGACCCTGAATGTGCGTGGGAGACCTGGCTCCTGGCTTCATATCAGCTCAGCTCTGGCCATTGCAGCCTTTTAGGGAGTGAATCAGCAGATGGATGATCTTTCTGTCTCTTCTTCTTTCCATAAACCTGATCAGCCTTTCCAATAAAAAAAAAAAAATCTAAAAAGAAAGAAAGAAAGACAACACGCGAAACGCTGATTCAGCCAAGATCACACACCACATGCCGATGTCACACACATGGATTCCAACCAGGAACCCCGAAGAGTCAAGTGCAAAAGTCGTATGTGTCAAAAGACAGCAAATGCAGAGACGTCATCTGGCTCTGTCATTCTGGTGTAGGGCAACACTTCATTTCATATGATAGTGCTACGTGTTCTAACAAGCTGGGGTCTAGAATTCAGTTGTGTGGACAGAAAGGGGCTTAAGAAAGCAGAAACAAACAACTCCATCAGTCATGTCAAGGTGACTCTCCCTGTAAGGGGGGAACAGGGAGACAGAACAATAGAAAAACAGCAGACTGATTAACACCAGGTTACTTTAGCT